ATAGCTTAAAATTTTTGTTTTCTGACCGGTTACAAGATTTTCAGGTGGGACTTTGGAAAAAAAAATTCGCTCTAAAATGAAGCACCCTAGTCATCACTGTATTGTCCTGGAAAACACATACAAGGACTGCGCATAGACTTTACTGGGTTTGATATAACATATTAATATGCTTTGGCGTCGGAAACTGTCACAGGTTTAGTATATCTCACTTAAGAGGATTGTATGGCGTGGAACTAGGCAAATGAGCGACAAGAGCGGCAACGGTGGCCCGGTCGGCAATCTATATGCAAATTGGGCCCGCAATAGAATCATTCCCGTGGCGTCACACTTTCCTCTCCTTCCTCCTAGCGCGCGACCCGTGCCATAAACTTCCATGCACTGTTCAAATTTTAATTCATTACTGCCTTTTTGCCTCAAACTCTCATTTAAAATATACGAATTCGTCGTGTATGTAATTACTCTTTTTAATAGAACTTGCTTCAATAGATATCGATTTATTTTTAAAACGTTGGCGTAAATTCAGAACATTTTAGCGCACCTCTTTGATAAAAAGCATAAACCTACAAGAGCAAAAGCTACTTTTGTCACATCAATGAGTATAATGCCTTTATAAAGGCATTATACTCATTATACAGGGTGTCCGGGAAAAGGAGGTCAATCCCAAGCAACAATTTAAGTATTTGTTACGTATATGGGACTATTGAAGAAACTTAAAAGTGTTTTGCGACAGTCGCCGGTCTCTTTATATTACTCTTTTATTACTAAGTTACGACTAAAGTGGGGAACAATCATTGAGTTCCAAAAAGGTAACAAATATGTCACTAGCTATAAACCCTGCTACTATTTGGAACGTAGCTGCTACGTTACTAGAACGTTCCAATGTCGTTGCTAGAGCGTTATAATTACTTTTATTTATTTGTTTTTACTTCTATGTTAACTGTCTTTGTCAAACTTATATTAGATTATACTATCCCTCCTTTTTAAATGGAACCACTACGGACTTGGCTTTTCAATGTCGTCGTTTATTAAATATGTACTGGTAGTTTATAACTTCCAGAATAACAATATAATGTTTAATTGGGCAGGTAAATTTATGAACCCTTTAAATTTTACTGTTGAACTCATGAATTTAGTTTTTGTAAAATAAATGCGCTTCATCAATATTTAAGTATAAACAAATTATTTATTTAATAATGTTTATAAATAAAAAAATCTTAATATTTATTATAAATTTTTTTATTTAATTATTAATACTGTCTATTACCAACAAAATACTATTTATTAAAAAGTAAACAACCATTAACAAAAAAAACTTGACAGCTGTTGTCACCAAAAATTGCAATTTATATTTTAATTGTTAACTGTTACTCATGAAATAGTCTTGTCAAATACCATTCGGGCATCTAATTTTTCCTGTGAAAAAAATCGAAAAAGCACAATGCTAAGTAATATTTTTTTAACAAAATGCATTCGTGCAGGTGCAAAAATCCTCCTCTTCGACTCGGATTTTTGTTGCCACCAGCACTCATGTTTTTGTTAAAATATCACTTAGCAACGTGTTTTTTCGATTCTTTTCGGAAAAATTAAATGCCCTTATGATATTACTTACGAAAAAATTTAAAATAAATGTAATATATCATAAAAAAGGTCTCTAATAGGCCTTTAAAATAAGCCATCACTCACCTTTCTACTTTTAATAGTTTACGAGATATCGCTATTTGTGTAAGTACTTGCAAAACCTAAATTTATCGGAATTTTTTTATTTTCAAAAATCAATAAAACAAAAACCTCCCATCGAAAAAAATTCATATATGGGATTTTTGAGTTTTTTAGTGAGGTAAACAAATTTACCAAAAATTATCAAAATCGGAGATGGTGGGGGAAGAACCTTTGGTTGATTTGATATGGACTGACCCATACTTTACAAATTATCTCTAAAACAAATCATTTTATCAAAATTTTATAGGAGACAAATTTTTTTTAACAATAAATGATTACCTGAAAAAATACCGTTTGGAAGTCATTGGCGCACGTACAAAAAATAGGGGGAGTCAGTGAGTACTGGACCCCCCTATTTTGATTATTTGATAATTGTTTTTTGTTTTTTTGGTCTCAAAAAATGTAACTATTTATGTTGAAGTAGTGTACCGAATTTGAACTTAATATATTATCAATTACTCGAATTAATCAGTTTTAAATTTCAAACTTTGTCGCCTTGTATATCGAACATGAAGCTCTAAATTAAAAAATGGTATTATTAAAGTCTTATTGTTTTCACTCAAAGAATATATGGTTAACGGATTGACTTCCTTTTTCCGGACACCCTGTATATAAACATCAATGTCCAAAAAGTAACCATTCCTCAAAACTTTCGTTTCTTCCCAAAAAACAGTTTGTACTACTTATGGTAACGATAAATTATATAAAGGTTATATAAGATTTGTCAAATTATATAAGAATTATAAAATCGCCATTTAGTTTACTAGTTTTATAATGGTCATATAAGGTTACTGTAAACTCTAGGTATATAATTATTTCTACAAACATTTTATATAACCTTTAGTAACCGTTACCAGTAGGTTTATAAAGGAGTTTTATAAACTACCTGTTCTATAAAAAAACTAACTCTTTAATTTGTTTAAATAAAAATTGTGAGTTATTAATTATTTATGTGTTTAATAAACCAAAAATATTTAGTAATTGAAACAGAAATTAAGCATAATATTCGCTTTTGATGCATTGTTTTTGATAATTTTTTAATTAAAAAAACTTTAAAATTCTGTAAATTTTAAAAACCTTAGCAAAGAATTTAAAGCCAATTTTCTTTTATATTTTATCTGACATCTGACATCTGACAACTGTCAAGCAGATTTATCCTCACTTTTATAAAATTTTAACTTCAACACTATTTATTATTAAAATAAATCAAAAGGGTAGAAAAACTTAATGCGAGTGTTTATTACCCCTTAATGGTTAAATAGTGACAAAATGTACACTACAGTGCATGCCAATTTCTTTGTCTGTTTTGATGTTACTAAGAGCTCTTTTTTCTTTACACTACTAGTGCACATTGTATCACAATTAAAGTTAAATTACACCAATAGTGACAAAATAGACTAAAAAAAATTGGTAATAACCGAAATGCGTTTTAAAATGTTTTGGTTGGTACCTACGCAGTGCATATCCGGAGATACCGCGTTGTGGAAGTGTGGCATTTTTGTTCAGTTTAATTTTAATTACTGTAAATCCATAAGAGGACATTCTTATTTTTTGGTAAGTATTATACTTCCTTTTTCTTTAAGCCTTAATACTCAATAAATACCAATATGTCCATACCCGTATATATATACATACCCATATATATATATATCAATAATTTACGGCAGTAGGTCGGGTACTTGTAACATTAATAATATAAATACATACACACTTGATTTACTTTTTATTTTCAAGCGTAATGGTTGTTATATTAACCTATACCTATATTTTTATTAATATTGTGGAAAATTTGTACACGTGTGGTAAAACCCCGACATACAGCCGCCTGACGCCTCTCTACCAATGGGATCACCCATTTTTTATAAAAGAAAAATGGATTACTGATGAATTCTCAACATAATTCATTGCTTACAAGTTGACATCCAGTAAAACATTGCATTTTACGTTTTAAGGAACCATTTTGCTTAAGCCATCCATACGACTCAAATATAAAATTATATTTTAAAAGATAGATTTTTGTTCCAAATAAATGTTTCTCTTTATTTACCTTTTCGTTTTATTCACTACCACCAATAGGTTTTACTTAAATAATAGTGTTAATTTACACTAGAAGTTTGCACTAAAAGAGTAAAAGTACCTTTCTAAAATTAGAACTTTTCCAAAGTAGTGTTAATTTACACTGAACAAAAGTGGTATTTTACCCAGGAAGTGTAGAAGTACACGATTTTAGGTAAATTAACACATTTTAATACAGTGTAAAATTACTTTATCCTCAGTGCTATAGTGTTAAATCATACTTGCTTACTTGGGGAAAATTACACTACAAATTAACTCTAATTGCAGTGTTATAAAACAACACTATTTAGTGTGGACCTGTGTGAACTCTAATTAGTGTTGCTTAGGGTTGATGTTTGTTAAATAAATATTTTTTTTAACTTTTTAATTATTCAAAATATAAAAAAAACAAATTTGCAGGGATTTAAATATTCTAGAAATTTACTGCATAACTTTTTGACCCTGTTTTTGCCAATTAACTAAATATAGCTATTGAAAAAACCTGTATGAATTCATAATTTGGTTATCTTTAAAATTAATTCATTTTCGTTTTTATTTAAAAAAAACAACAACAAATATATTTGCATGATAATAAAGATATTTGGTTAAAATTATTAAGGGGTCTTCAACATGGAAAAACTACGCAGTCAAAAATAAAAAAAAATATTAAAAAATTAATTAGTTTATTAATTTTTTTATCTTTTATATATTAATACATATACATATAACTATGGAAAGATATATTGGATTTTCAGGTTCATTAAATAATGTTTTTTATAATAACTATATCATAAATATTATCTCCAAATTGTTTCTTAATTTATAAATGTATTGATATAGGCAGAAAAACCTCGGTCATTAGCCTTTTGGTTTATTACAATAAAGATATTTACTACTACTACTATTAATCAATATTTATAAATATCCAAATTAAATTGATTTTTAATGTTATTGACAAGAGAATAAAAGTTTACAGAATCAAGGAAATGTTGTCTATAGATATATAACGTGAGTGTCAGGTATAAATATCATAGATAGGTAATTTCCATAGAGCATAACTAAAACTAATATATTCAACCAATTAAGTTGTGCACACCCTTAATATGTTTATTTTCGAATTCGACAATAAATAATAAAACATATGCGGAATTTGCATTTAAATTTGAATTTTGTCAGTTGGTTTAATACAATAAATTTACAATTTTTTTTTTTACTTTTAACTTCAGCCTTAACCAAATTAGGAATGAAGGACACCAAAAAGCCTCATCCCAAAGATGGGGCGGGATTTTTTTCCATTATCACATACGCGTAAGTTTTTTCGATTATTTATCATATTTTTTTATACATTAAACTTTTTATAGGTTTATTCTACCTTTGATTGGAAAAGCCTTTAGAAGAGACCTTAGGCAAAAAGATATGTACGAAGTGCCAAAGTTTCTCGAGGCCAAAAAATGTGGAGACGAACTGGAAAAAGCGATCAAACTAAAAATGGATAAAGGAAATAAATTTTCCATATTTTGGGTCATTATAAGTAAATATAAATTCCAACTTATGCTTGTGATATTCCCTTATATGATCGGTAAATTTATAAGAAGGTATGTACATCTCAACAGTTAAATATCACAGGGTGAGTCATTAACTTTTAAACTTTGAAATATTGTGCACAATCCACACAACAAGGTCTGTTCTATCTCGTACTAAAAATACAAAAAATCACTGAAACCACAGACTGAAACACTGCACAGTTTAGCGGCGGCCATTTTTTTGTTTACAATTTTTGTGCTTTGGGTTTGTGCTCTGTTGATACAGATTAATAATCGCTTTAAACGTTGTGTTTCTCATAGTAAGCCTTAAAAGAGTCCTTAAAGTGCTAAGAACAACCATTTTACTCCTCTATTGTAAAAAATAAACTTTATTCTATCAGGGCTGTCATAAAACTGTTAAATGTCAATTTTAAGGTTAAATTATAACCCACAAATTAACCTTCAAATTGTCATTTGACAGCCCTGATAGAAAAATGTATATTTATTATAAAAGAGGAGTAAAATGGTTGTCCTTAGCACTTAAAGGCCTTATTTGAGGCTTAATAGTGCCTCTGTAAGAAACACAACGTTTAAAACAATTATTAAACAGCACAAACCCAAAGCACAAGAATTGTCAACAACAAAAATGGCCGCCGTTAAACTCTGTGCAGTGTTGCAGTGATTTTTAGTATTTTTAGCATGATATAGAACAGACCTTGTTGTGTGGATTGTGTCAGTTAGTATACATTTTACAAAAAAATATGTATTTAAAATAAAAATTAAATGATTCGAGGGGGGACATCAATCATTACCAAAATAGGTAGATTTTGTCTAAAAACATTTTTTCATATTTCTAATAAATGGCGCTGTAATGAAAAAAATCAATATTGTTCGATTTTTCTTCTGTATACGATTCTGCAATAATTTGTCTATAAAAATATTACTTTTTTTGGTAATAATTATCTTATTAAATTAAATCTAATTTTTTAACTAATATTTAAGTTTCATTTGGTTTAAGTTTTATACATTATTTCATTCGGTGATAATTATCAATTGCGCACCATGGTCACTTTTTACCTGCCAGCATTAAATCCTTTAATTTAAAGGATTATTATACTATTGTTAATAAAAATACCTCATTTAAGCCTTAAAGTTTAAGGTAATAAACATTATTTAGTCAATTAATTAATTTAATCCTAATTGAGGTATAAAAAATGGTATTTAGTTATAAATAATAATTATTATTGAGGTATAAAGAAACTATTTATGGTTTTGCAAACAAAAATACCTCCTTTCGTTAAGCAGTTTTTCATAATGGATTTTTTAATAGTGGAAGAAAAAATAGAAATGATTTTGATTTATGGAGAAGCAGGCAGGAATCTTGATGATGCTATTAAAATCTACGCTCAGCGTTTTCCGGATAAAATTAGTTCACGTACTTCATTTCAACGTACAGTCAAGCAGTTTACTACAAACGGGAGTGTTCAACCGAAAAAAGAGTTAGAGCAACAGTCACAGGTGGAAATAATGAAATTAGTGTATTAGCAGCATCGGCCGCTAATCCCCATGCAAGCACACGAGAATTATCCAGAGATTTGGGAATATCCCAGAGCAGTGTTAGCAGAATATTATATATAAAATACTAATAAAAGTATTTTGTTCAAAAATTATTGGAGAATCGTATACAGAAGAAAAATTGAACAAAATTGATTTTTTTCATTACAGCGCCATCTATTACAAATATGAAAAAATGTTTTTAGACTAAATCGCCTATTTTTAGTAACATGAGGACTCATTTTAGTACTGATTGATTTCCCCCTCGAATCATTTAATTTTTATTTTAAACATTTTTTCGTAAAATGCATACTAACTGAGATAGTTTCAAGTTACATGACTCACCCTGTATAGTCTTGACGAGTATAAAATTTAGTGTTGCCATATGTAACAAAACAGCAAATTTTTAAGTGGTGTATTTTTAGCATCTATCAGCCAGTACTAATCAGTAGGTTTATATCCTACTTTAAGGAAAACCAAACGCATATGTCCTTGGAAGATGTGGTGTACACCAACATGGGACTTATGGTTATGGACTTTACATATTACACCATATTTGCGCTATATTTATTGATGTGCGCAAATTTTACCGTTAAAATGAAAGTGGCCGTTTCATCTGTGATATTTAAAAAAGTTCTAAAACTCCAAAATGCAGCTTTGACTAGAATGAGCGTTGGAAATATTGTTTCATTGATGACCAAGGATGTTTCGGTTTTGGAGAATGGTTTTAGATCACTTTGCGACTATATTATTTCCACTGTTCAGTTGGTAACCACCTGTGCTGTCTTATTTATTAAAACAGGACCTATATCGTTTTTTGGCATATTTTTTATGTTAATTATAATGGGCCTTCAAGGTAAGTTTATTTTTCTCAAAATTAGTTAGTTGTGTAGCCTAGACTTGTTTCTTGAAATATTGTATCGTACATGTTTCCATGACACTAAGTGACGTTTTAAACAGCAGCTTGTATACTGAATAAAGTTCATTTTTTTTATCTGGACTGCGGCAATGTTGCAAATTTAATGTTTTGGTTGGTAAATACAGTTTTCAAGTTGGTCGCATTGGTTATGTATAAATTATTGTAGGTTACATTGTGCAGTTGTCAAGTTGAGTTATCGAAATTCGTAGTTAAAAATGCAATTAATTTGGCTTTGGTGGTGCTTGGGTGAGTAAAATCATATAAAAAAGTAGTTAAATATAGGTTGCTTTACGGCCCAGAAGAGAAAGTATTCCTAGCCGATAATAATCTTCGCTTTGAAAAGAATTTATATAAAAGAAATTAAAATTTTTTGTGAACGTAAAAGTTTTACAATGGTGAATAATGTGAAAATAATGTCCATAAGGCGATGTACTTTTCCATTGTGGCATTCGGCATAATTTCATCAAAATGAAGTTTTGCCCCCAAAAGGGCTTTTACATTAGAATTCGTTGCTATTATTTTTGGCATAATTATCTTTTTATTTATAATTGACAAGTAAATTATCAATAAAAATTATTATTGTCAATTTGACAGTGTCAAAGTATTTAATTAAATTCTTTAGCAGAAGTACCATTTTTAAAAACTAAAAATACTAAGTCAAACTGGCATAGGCTGTTACCAACCTAACAAAAAACACGAGTCCAGATAAAAAAAAAATTAACTGTACATTTTTAATTTAACAATTTAAATGTGGCAGTAAAAAAATCGAGGTTAAAATTTAAATGATACAATTTCAAGTTGAACAAATATTTTTTTTGGCTTAGTTTATAATGATTTATAATGATTATGTTAATGTTTTTCAGTATTAATTGGAAAATACATCACCTACGTCAGAGTCTTGATTAACGAAAAAACTGCAGATAGGATAAAAGCAACTAAAGAGGCTTTGGCTTCCTTAAAAGTGATAAAAATGCTTTCATGGGAAAAATTTTTCCTTAAAAAAATATATTTGCTGAGACGGTAAGTTTTAAAAAAACCTGTTTATGTATAATTTATGTGAGTAAGAAAATACAGGGTGTTGCACATTCGTGGTAGATTAGTTTTTGGGAAACGGAAAAGATATTGATTTAAATTCTACATAAGAATAAATGGTAAAATTTGTTTGATATTAAACACAGAGATGTCGCCACCAGTGTTTATTCCGTCATCCTATGATAGAATAATTCATTCTGTAATACTTTACGGAATATACGTCATTCCACAATAAAAGTGATATTAGAACGGTCATATTCCATAATAGGAGTAGAAAATAGTATATTATGTATCAAGTTTGATAAACGCCATTTTATACACGAATTTAATTTAGGCACGAGCGAGCTTGCGAGCGAGTGTTTAAATTAATGAGTGTAAGTATAGAAAAGTTTATAAACGAGGTGCATACTATACTTTTTCTAAGACAAATACTTACTATTATTTTAAAATTATTTAAATCAAAAATTTGTGTAGAGCGCCATCTATGAAACAATAGAAAAATCTGTGTGTCACCGTCAAATGTCACATTTTATTTTATAAACACAGATTATAAATCGAAATGTTTTTCTTGAAAATTGACAGTTTCTCACAGTGAAAGTAAAGAAAATGTTTTATGAGGACTTTACAGTGGAGTCCGTGCCCGAATTTAAGTTATAGTTTACTGCCGGCGAAATTAAAAGGTCAGTACAATGTTCATATAAACTTTTCAAATATTGGCGTTGAGAAACTATTTAATACTTTTGTATTTTTGTATTGAGATAATAAAATAATTTTCACATTTAGTATTATTTTACAAAAAAGGCACTTTATTTTAACGATTGTATGACATTTGACGAGTGTCAACTAACTTAAAACTAACTTCAGCCCGTGACTAAAAACCTGTTGCTAACTTCAGCCCGTGACTAAAGCGCCATAAAGCCACAACTTGTCAATGAGTATTTAAAAGGTCACTTAGTGTCATGGAAACATGTATGATAAAGGGCGTTTTAAAGGTGGCAATAGAAAAATAACTTTTTTGTTATTAGGTTTGCGGATATGGAGATGGAATTTTTTGAATCTTAAAACATTGTTTAAAAGATTTCATGTCAGTTTTTTAACAATTTTAAACAAATAACCTAAGAAAACCCAGGGCATTTTAGGCTAACTTGAAACGTTAATAACTTTTTAAAATGTTAAATATTATTTTGTATCAAGAAACCTGTGACGGGGAGAGTTGACGGTATCTATGGTTACCACGTAATCTGTTATTGTTCAAAATTTAATGTCGTCAATTTTTCAGGTTGTTATAAACAATTTTTTGACTGATTAAGTGTTTTGTATACAAAATTACCGATAAAAAATAGCAGTCAGTGACTTATAATAAACATTTATAAGCCAAACATTTTTAAAATTTAAAAGTTAATACAAACAATATTTGCTAATTTAAAAAAACAGAATATCAACTAGATGAAGCACTAGCTCATTGTAGACAATAAAATAGAAATTTAAAAAAAATTAGCAATTTAATAAACAACAATATTTTAAGAAACAATATTAATTAATCATTTATTACTAAATGTTTAAAGTGTTCTCCATTTACATTCTTAATTCTTACTTCTACATTAGACGTTGCTCTTCTTGAATATTCTGGGTCTAACATTAGAAATTGTTAAATATATCTGAAATTATTAAATTTAGGTATAGCGAATAATCGAAATGTTCTTTTATTTCCTATTTGATTACCTATGTAAAAACATAGAGGGGGTTACATTTAAAATAAAAAAGTTATTAATGTTTCATGTTAGACTATTTTTTTTTTAATAATTTGTTGAACTATGTTAAAGAATTAACATGAAATCTTTTAAACACTGTTTTTAGATATTCGCAACATAATAACGCACATTTGTCATTTTTAACGAATTTTAACGAAAAAAATTAATTACTTAAAACTATTCACTTTAGGTATAGGACATGGTTTAGTTATTTTACTCAGAATTTTATGTAGAATTTAAAAATGTAAAAATATATTTGGTGTTTTATTTGAAATAACAAAGTTGATGTCACTTCCGGTCAAACCGGAAGTGGGATTTTGTTCAAAATATTTAAGAAAAATGGACTTAATTGGGTTATAAATGCTTTTAATAAAATTTCAAATCGATATCTTTTGCCATTCCCCAGAAACTTTTAATGGACCACGAATGTGAAACGCCCTGTATATAAAATAAAATTAATAAAGGTTTTACTAAGAATTTTATAAAAGTTAATAAAAAATAGAAAATCTTAAAATTTTTATCAAATTCAAAAATTACGGTTGAAAAATCCTTCCATTTTTAATAAATTTGGATTTTTTTTTAAATTTTAGAAATTTGTCCTACTATTTTGCGAAGTTGTCTTGCCATTTTTTTTAATTTTGAAGTACTGCGCGAATTTTTCCTACAATTTTTTAAATGTATGCTACTGTGAAAATATTTTGTAGTTTTGAACTACTGTGCTCATGTTGTCCTATGGGGCATTCCACGTTACTCGGTAATTTTTGTCCCACCTGTCACAATAAAAAATTGTGAGTAAAAAAGTTATTAGATTAATATTTTGTAATACCATTTATATTGTGCTTATAAGTTTATTACAAGTATGTATAATAAATAACATAGTTTTTACTCACAATTTTTAATTGTGACGGGCGGGACAAAAATCTTCGAGTATCGTGGAATGGCCCCTATATAATTTTTTAAATTGACTCATGTAAGGGCAGTTTTTAATTTTTCAATTTTGTACTAGTTTGGGCAGTTTTCAATAATTATTTCCCGTATATGTATGTATAATAGACTGGGCCAAAAAAATCAACTATTTTTTTTTGAAAAGTATATCGAAAATATGGTTTGGGGTGACAAAAAAAAATTATTGTGAAAGTTTGACTCCATAATATTAATATTAAGATGTCTATCATCGCAATTTTAAATTTTTTTTCCTCAGCAAGGTTTTGTCTCAGAACTCCCAAACCATTGAGTTTAACAAAATTGACATAGAAATATATTTTTAAGAAAATTAAATGCTCTACAAAAAATAAAATTTTCCGACAGATGAAACGTTTCCTTAAAATCATGCCTTAAAAATTGGTATAGTTTTACATTTTGATCTTTTAACTTTGGAATTTTGGAATTCATGTAAAAATCAGTACCCAAAAAAAACGATGAATAATCAAATGCTTTACAAAAAAGTCTCTTAACATTTTTGGCTAAATTCACTCAATCAAAAGTTATTCAAGGTTAAAGTTCAAGATTTATGAAGATTTATTTTTTTATGAATTTGGTTTTTTTCTTTATAAATGTTTATTATATAAATAATTAACAATTTACAATAAAAAAACAACATGATTGTTATTATTTAAACGATTAAATAGGTAACAGTAAAAATAATATTTTCCAAAGAAAATAGCTTCTTAAAGCTAAAAAATTCTAATGTGTTATTTTTTTTTAATTTTCAGTAATTTTATCAATAACATAAAGATTATCATCGATTAAAGAATTCAAGTTTTTAACTGAGCGAAAAAAACAAGAATTTCGTTTTGACTTCAAATTTAACCTTGAATAACTTTTGATGGAGTGAATTAAGCCAAAAATGTTAGGAAACTTTTTTGTAGAGCATTTGGTTTTCCATAAGAATATCTATCGGTGCTTTTCCCGGTACTGACTTTTACATGAATTAAAAAATTCCAAAGTTAAATGATCAAATTGTAAAACTATACCAATTTTTAAGGCATGATTGTAAGAAAACGGTTAATCTGACAGAAAATTCCAATCAAACCTTTTTTGTAGAGCATTCAATTTAGTTCTGAGACAAAAACTCGCTCAGGAAAAAAAATCTTAGATTGCGATGATAGACCTCTTAATATTAATATTATGGACTCAAATTTTCATAATATTTTTTTTGTCACCCCAAACCATATTTTTGATTTACTCTTCAAAAAAAAAAAGTTGTTTTTTTGGCCAAGTCTAATGTATTTATAATGGAATAATTTTTATTATTTTAGCTCAGAAGTAAGCTGTATGTTAAAAGACGCTTACGCAAAATCAATTATACAAATTTTGGGTTCACTATGCCCGGATATAATGACGTACATTTTTATAATTTCTTTCATCATAATGGGTATTCCCCTGGATGTGGAGCTTGTCTTTTACATCATCAACTGCGTTAGGTCGCTCAAAATGAGTATAATTTATTTGATTCCGCAATGCCTGGGACTTTTGGCCGACTTTCGAGGTAGTTTAAAGCGAATCGACGAAATTTTACACGAAAAGGATTGGGAAGAAAGGAACGACCAATTTGTAGACAAGCCTAAAGTTTTGATGAAGAGTTTAAGCGTCAAAATCGGAAACAATTATATTTTATCAAATGTTTCAATTAATTTGGAGAAGGGAGTTACTTGTATAATAGGTAAGAAATGCTTTTATAAAGATATATCACACTGAAGGAAAAATTTAATACATGTTATGAAAAATATAATATTCGTTATAAGATTTCTCTATTAGTATTAGGACAGTATTAGACAGTATGAACTCGGTTTTGTTAAAACATCTTGCAACATACTATTATCTCTTATAAAATCGATATGCTGCCACCATAAAATGATGTTCTAGTAGATATAATCAAAATCATAAATACTATAAACCAGCTTTATATCGTGTATTAAATGTTTTTTAGCCAGTATAACTTCAGATTGCTATGTGTATTTGAAAATTATTAATAATTTAATGTAGTGGCTAATACTTTTTACAAACTTGCTGACAGGAGGGTCGTTATATAAAAAGTTCAACTTTTATAAATTGTATACTTTTATTAAAAAAAACAGGTACAAGCAATAAAAAAAACATAAATAAACATAATTAGTTATATAATAGTACAGAAGTAAATCAAAATTTTGCATGTCGAAACTTACACAGAATGCCAAGGGGGAAAATAAAACAAGCGTAAAAATATTCCTACTTACAAAAACCCTACAGCGTGTCACTGCAATTTTTTTTTAAATATTATTTGTAAAATGAATTCTCTTAATTTTTAGTAAAATCGTTTCTTTTGTTTCTGGGGCTTTTTTTTTAATTAATTTTTATCATGATTTTTTATTAAAATCATGATTTATATCGTTAATTTTAATCAATAATTACTGTTAAAACAAAGCTTGTGGTACTAAACTACCTATCTTCATATTATCCAATAAATGCTCCTCTTTTCGAAATTTTTTGAAAATTCATGATTTTTTTTAAAATTTTGTTTATTTCAAAGTCTACCTTTGCAGAATACACATTTGTACACCGATTTTTATAAAATTAGAGTATATTATTGAGGAGACTTAAAGAATACTTTTTAATACTGTTCACATCATTTGAAATATACAGGGTGAGCCAAAAATCGCTTATTTTTAATAAAGCAAAAGCGTAAATTCATGATTTTGGCAAACACGCAAAAAAGTTTTGTCCCCATTTTTTTTTAGATATTTCTACGTTTATCAGGTTACAAAATGGCATTCTTATTAACATAAAAAAAAATAGATTTTTAATAAAATTAAATAAAATACCGCTTAGAGAATATTTAAAATGTTTAATTTAGGCTTTTTAGTAGTAAAGTTTTTTGATCGGCTGGAGATTTAAAAACGGTATTTACCAAAATTCTAACTGCTTTTTTTTAATTTGTTAAAATATAATTTTTTTTAAATTTGTTAAAAAATCATTTTTTTTTAAATTATTTGTTTATCGCAAAGTCTACTTTTGCCAGAGTAGGTACACATTTGTACACCGATTTTTATCAATTGCAGTTTCTTGTTCGGGACCCTTTGATAATTTTAAAATGATATTTACCAAAATCCTAGCAGCTCCTCTTTTCGAAATTTTTTGAAAATTCTTAATTTTTTTTTTAACGTTTGTTTATCTTACCTTTGACAAAGTACACATGTGTAAATGCATTTGTACACCGATTTTTATAATATTGGAGTATATTAATATATATATATATACAATTGTTAACGAGACTTGGAGACTACTGTTTTCATACTGAGCACATCATTAGATTTATACAGGGTTAGCCAAAAATCACTTTTTTATATAGTAAAAAGCATAATGCCAAAAAAGATTTATCTCCAAAAAAATTTATTTTATTTAATTTTATTCAAAATCAATTTTTCTTATAAAGTCTTAATAAGAATCCCATTTTGTAGCCTGATAAACATAAAAATATCTAAAAAAACATGGGTGGGTATATATCTTTTTTGCGTGTTATGCCAAAATCATGAAGTTGCTTTATTAAAAGAAGCGATTTTTGGCTAACCCTGTATATATTAAATGATGTGCACAGTATAAAAAGTATTCTCCAAATCTCCTTAACAATATACTCCAATATTATAAAAATCGGTGTACAAATGTGTTCTCTGTCAAAGGTAGATAAAAAATTTAAAAAAATCATGAATTTTCAAAAAATTTCGAAAAGAGGAGCAGCTAGGATTTTGGTAAATATCATTTTTAAGTCACCAAACAAGAAACTGCAATCAGTTTTTGGTGGCATTTTTATGACTTAAACTTCGTTCAGCAGTGTTGCCAACAGTAAAATGTTAAAATTCTCAAAAACCTAAATAAAAATTCACCAGAATTCTCCAACTTTCCAAAAAAAATCTCCAATACTTTTAATGGACAAAAACAAAGAGGTATGGACACAAAATGCAAAAAATATAAAACAGTGTTAAAAAGTTAACAAAAAATATATAAAAAAACAACTTTGTATATGAGGTTTTAATGCCTTTTTATGTAATAAACATTTTCTTTTAACATGGAAATAACAAAAAAATAATTTTTAAAGCTGGCCAAACTTTGCTAACGTCATTTAGGTACAGATCAAAATAAGTCTATTTTTCTATACAAATTTTTGTATACAAAGTTTGACGGGCACATTTTAGGATAAACTGTAGAAGGAGATAGATAGTACCTACTAATATATTGCTGTATTTGAGACCTGATATGTAATACATATTACACTTCATGTTCTGTAATTACACTAATAGTATCTTTTGTTCTTATGTCCTGTTCTGTGCATAGATGGTGGCATAGATTAATAACTTTAATGAACGATGGAGTCACATATTTTTTAAATATGTGGATGGAGGGAATCAAAGTTTTACCGGTCAAATTCTTGCAGGGTAACCAACTTAATTAAAAAATCACCAGTACAACGCACCCAACCAAAACTTTAAATATTTTTTTTAATTATTAAAAATTCGTTAAAAACTCTCCGATGCATCTTTAAATTCTTCAGGTTTGAGACTTGTAGCTATCTAACTTGAAAACTCTCAACCAAGAACAAAAAATCACCAGAAAAGGTGAAAAATTCTCCAATATGGCAACACTGTCGTTCAGGCATAGAGTATAAAGACGACTATTAAACAGTATAAGACATATTATAGTTCTTATAAAAAAATTATAAATTAAAATAAATGATATTGTCTTTATAAAACTCGTCTTAACAATACTGGTTTATACATTTTATAGATTTCTTTCAGTGTACCATCTTTGCTTAGAATGATTGATACTTTTATTGTGTAGAACTGTGATATAATATTAAAGTCTATTCAAATCCAAGCTGGACTAAATGTAAACAAAATCCTCCGAATCGACCAATAGAAACGAGTTATCACGCGTCTGGGCGTTTTTGTTTAGTCCAGCTTGGATTTGAATAGACTTTAGATTGTAATATTCTAAATATACATCTTACAAATTGGACTTTTAGGTAATAATGGTTCAGGAAAAACCACGCTGCTTCTCTCAATCCTCAGAGAATACCCACACAAGGGCCACTTGATAACGAAAGGGAGGATCTCCTACGCCAGTCAAGAGCCCTGGTTGTACCCTTGCACAGTGAAAGAGAACATCATATTCGGCGAAGAGTTCGACAAAAAGCGCTACCAGAACGTGATAAACATGTGCGGGCTGAAGGACGATCTGAACAACTTTCAACACGGTGAAGACACCAACGTCATCAACGGCGGTCTGAATTTCAGCAAGGGCCAGCAGAGCAGAATCAACTTGGCCAGGGCTGTGTACAGAGACAGCGAGATTTATCTGCTCGACGATTGCCTGTCCTCTTTGGACAATTCGGTGCAAAACGGAATCGTCAACAACCTGTTGAGCTTTTTTAGCGACAAGATTTGCCTTATCGTGACCAACAATAGCAATCTCATCGCGCGAGCCCATCAGGTCTTAATTGTGGACAACAAAGAAGTACAACGCCACCATCCAGATAAACTTAACATGGAAAATATAAAAGACACGGTGTTGACTAAAGAAAAGGATAATTTGATGATCAATGAGGATGAAGATTACAAGGAAATAATAGACGAAAAAATGGAATTGTTGCAAAATAATAAGCAACAAGAAGAAGAAACCCAAAAAGAAGGAAACGTCCCGTTCCGTTACTACTTGCAATATTTAAAATATGGAAGGGGTTATTTTGTTTTTATATCCATAGTAATACTATTTATTTTATCTCAATATGCTGAAAGTTATACAACAAAAACCTTAACAAGATGGTAAGTTTAATAATTTAAGTAGGTCATCATTTACTGTTTCTTGCACTGTTCAAAATTTCATGACCATTTTAACACCAAATTAACACCATACATCGATACAAACAAAAATGGTGTTAAATATGGTTCAGTGTTAAATATTATGTGTTTTTGGTCAAATTAAATCATACTACACAGAAAAAAGGAATCAGAAAGTTCCTTGACGCATTACTAGTATATTACCAGTGGTATTATGCCACAAAATTGAACCTTCAACTCGCTAGAGATAATGTTTTTAGTGCGTTCCACCAACTTAAAATACTTTAAATATTGACAGCTGTTTCCACCTATTTAAGGTCTCTTTAGTATCGAACAACTTGTAGTGTCACACCAAAGCAAAGGACTACCTGAGCTTATATACTCTTCATGTAAGTCAACAGAGGCGAGATTTAAGAACATCACGTGATCCACACCGCCTTTGCCGCGATCGGTACACACTATGCAACCGGAAATGCACGGCAAATTTTTTTAATCGTTTTAACAGAGTGCTTTAGGTTGAAGTAACTCTTATTTTACAAACAACATATTTAGTTAACTGAACCATACAGCGGGTTGGTTTCTGGGTTAATTTAACCAATTTAAAAAAAATAAAATAACTATCAGGTTTAGTACCGTCAAACTAATCTTTGTTTATATTAACCTTTCCACAGTTAATATAAATAAAAAAAATACAAAAATAAATACTTATGGGTCAACTAAATTAATATAGTTAAATGAACTATTTCTTTTTTTCTGTGTAGGTGCACTTCTCAAATATTTTTAGATAAACACCGTTTTGGTGTTTGCTGTAGGTATATAACATTTTCAACCATAATTCATGGTGTTTATATTAACACCACTTGGTATTGGATTTAGACACCATTTTAGGATTACTCTTTACACCACAGATATTTTAAACAGTGTGAAACTAGTAAAAAAGTATTTTTAATAAAGCTGGCTCAATAAAGAAAATGACGTTCTATAAAACAATGCTTTAAAACTGTTTGTTGAAGAGAGTTTAGATTTTCGTATCATTTTCTATTAAATATGCAAATTAATGCAAATTTTGCATTAAAATTTTTAAAATGACCATTCAGGATCTGTTCTTTCTGATACAGTCTCATCATCAAAAAATTATTTAGTCAGTAAAAAAACAGCATCTTGAATGTGAGGAAAAAAAGAAGAAATTTTATACTCTCTTAAAATGAAATAGTCAAAATTCTACTATTTGAATTAGTACCAGCATTTTTACTAAAAAAAATAGTCGTTTTCACTTTCAAATAGTTAGTTATTTTTTACTACGTAAATAGTTAAAGTTTGACTAATTTAAGATTAGTCACGATCTTTGACCATTTATGAGTTTCTTTAATCCATGGTTAAATGACCCATAAAAACAAACAAAGATGCAAAAAGTTTAGCTCAAAACAGCAACACAAATAATATATTCAACTTTAAAACATTATGAACAATATTTATTGACAAATAAAATTGATTTTTATAAGAGTGACTGATAGCCACATTGGTTATGACAACAGCTTCACAAGTGGCAGATCTGAGTTCAATCCCCGGCTGGGTCAAAACTTTTTTAAATTTAAATCTACTATTTTGACTATTTCATTTAGTACATTTTAAAATTACACTGGTTTACAAAATCACACACCACTATATCCCATGTATTTTGACCCACTAAATACGAAAATCACACTTAATTTTTTTTTAGAAGCGTTTTTGAAATATGAATTTTTAATTGTTTTTTTTTTCAATTTTCGGAGGTGTTTTGACGTTTTTGAGTATAGCTTAAAATGTAATTGATCGATTTGGTCAAATACAAGAAGGTATTTGAGCCCTCTACAACTTTCTTTTACATACTTTTGATAAGTATTTTGACGCTAGCGATTTTAATAGCTTGAAAAATTCGTTTTTATGGAAAAATTGAGGTCGAAAATTTACATGTCGTCCTGGGAAAGGTTTCAATCAAACAGATAACTCTAGTTTAAATTTTTATTCGTGAAGCTGACCTTTTTACAAAAAAAAACAAGCTGATGTTGATAAAAATACATGAAAAAATGGCGAACTAATGAATTTTTTAGTGGAAGACCAAAATTAAGCTTTTTGACATTTTTTATTTTATTTTTTTTCTTTTTTTTGTAATATGTTTAGTCTTCAATGAAAATGCATGATTGGAATTTTTGGAGTTTTTTACGTACTTTTTTCACCGAAAACATTATTTAAAATTTAATTTTGACATGACTCCGCAAACCTGAATTCTTTTGTTTCTCGTGTTGGCATAGTGACATTTTACTGATATTTTTTGATATTTCAACAAGGTAAGTTAATAAAAAGTGTAAAATGAGTAAAAGAAGTAGAAAGTTCGAGTGCCTAAATAACCCGCACAATCTGGGCGACGTAAGTGATGAGCACGGAGAACGTTTTCACTAGCAAATGAAGGCTATGGAGCAGCGGTATCACGGCTTCTGGGATGCAGCCATGATGGGTGATTACAATTGGTCCCTAATATGAAAAACGGAATACGAAAGCAACAAAAAACAAAGAAGGAGGCAGAATTTTTTAAACCTATGCTTATTACAACAAAATAAAACTTTTAATGTCTTCAATGTTCAATATTTTTTGTTTAATATTCAATATATAATTAAATATTTAATGTTTAAAATAAAAATCAATGTTCGATATTAAATTTTATATAATTCAATAAAATAAGGAAAAAAAGTAAAAATTCTCGAAAAGCTGAATTTTGGTCTTCCACTGAAAAATTCATAACTTCGCCATTTATCCATGGATTTTTATAAACAGCAGCTTATTTTTTTCTTTAAGTACAATCTATACGTAAAATAAATCAAACTGGAATTATCTTTTCGATTTCTATCTTTCCCAGGAAGATTTTCGACCTCGATTTTTGTAAAAAAAAAGACTTTTTTAACTTCATAAAATCGCCAGTATCGAACTAGTGAGCCAATACCAAAACTATACGAGAGAAAGTTGTAGAGGGCTCAATTACCTTTGATTTAAGTGCTTGTTTGGTCAAATCCATAGTGAGACATGGTGGACAAAATGGCTGTAAACAGTTATTAGTGACTGCTTTTTCGCTATGACAATTGGTCAAATATGACATAATTAGTTATTTTTGACTAATTCATTTTAAGAGAGTACGAGGTGTGTTTTCAGAAAATAAGGGGAATTGTTCAATTTCGCGGCTTCGGAGGGTCCGGTTGTCATAAAATTTTCTTTATTATGTTTGTATACATGCCTCCGAAGTATGATAAAAACTTTAGCTGTTTTCATTGTTTACTTTGTCTGTGGCAGCCGCTAAGGTTAGACGTGTTTTATGTTCTGGGCGATTTTTCGTTTGTTAAAAGAAATGGATCAAAGAATTTGTATCCAATTTTGCTTAAAAAATGAAATAAATTCTGTGAAATGTTAACAAAGGAATATAGTGAGTCTGCTATAAGTAAAACAAGAGTTTACAAGTGGTATAAGAGTTTCCAAGATGGCCGTGAAGACGTGGAAGATGACGAACGCCCCGAACGCACAAGCACAAAAACAACCGATAAAAACTTGAAAAAAGTGGAAGAACTGGTTATAAACCATCAGAGAAGTCGCTGATGATGTTGGTATAAAGATGGGCTCATCCCTTGAAATTTTTTCGAAAGTTTTGGGTATGAAACGCGTAGCACCAAAATTTGTTCTAAAATTGTTAAATTTTGAACAAAATTTTTGGCCAAAAACAATACTGTAATGATGCTCCAGCCTCCATATTCCCCAGACATGCCTCTGTCTGACTTTTTCCTATTCCCAAAAATAAAGAGAACCTTAAAGGGCCGTCGTTTTGCAAGCATAGATGACATTAAAAGCGCATCGCTGAAAGAACTAAAGGCTATCCCAAAGATCGAGTTTTAGAAGTGTTTCGAGTATTGGAAGAAGAGCTGGCACATGTGCATAATATCCAATGGGGACTATTTTAAAGGCGACAACATTAATGTAGACGAATAAATAAATATTTGTTTTAAAAAACGAAAATTCCCGAAATTTTCTGAACACACCTCGTGCATTCTAAAATTAAAAAAACGATGTGGCTCCCGTCCCGAGGCGGGACTTAAGTTCAGTCCCGATTGACGTCACACACTGTAAATCCGTTTTTATTCCCCGAGATTTTATAATTTGTGTCAAGCTCGATGGCTTAGATGGTAGGGCGGTCGCTTGGCATGCGAGAGGTACCGGGTTCGATCCCACTGGAAGTTGTAAAACTTTTTTTATTTTTTTTATTTTATAAATTTGTTGTTTCTTTGTTAAAAAGTGTTTTATTTTTATCGTAACATAAATTTGCCCATTTTAGTTGGGTTTTTTGCTCAATGGGGCGGGGGGGGGCCAATGGGGCGGGGTCGGTTGGGTTGTGTTGTTGAGTTTGGGTTGGTTTGGTTTTATGACTTAACTAAAGTGCCCTTAACATGTATACAGGTACAATTTATTATTATTATTATTTTATTATAACATAACAAATCTTAAAATTATGACGTCAATCGGGACTGAACTTAAGTCCCGCCTCGGGACGGGAGCCACAGCGTTAAAAAAAATATATTTATGAATTTTAGAATGTATCAAATTTCTTCTTTTTCACTCACATTAAAGATGCTGTTTTTTTAATTTTTCTTTTTTCTAATGATCCATTAATCCTTTGAAGTACTTAATATTCACATGTTGGTTTTTTGACCAATTTTAGCCAAATTAAAAAAATTCATTGAACTTTTTTTTAGGGTTGACATTGAACAAACAGTTCTTAAAGAAAACACTACAAACAATACAAACGCATCCGAAGAGTCTACAAAAACCGTACAGTTATACAGTGGTTATCTATTTTTAACCATATTCCTAACAATATTGAAAATATTCATTTTCTACGATTTCACCAAAGCGGCATGTATTAGAATTAACAAAATAATGACTCTTAAAATACTGCACAGCCCTCTAAAATTTATCGATACGCAGTTGTTTGGGAATATTTTAAATAGATTTTCTCAGGATCTTAACAATATGGATGAAGTGTTCCCTCCCCAATTAATGAACTTAATAAGGGTAAGTAGAAAAAAATCATTTTGTGGTGAAATAAACTGCGCACCACTCAATGTGTCGCGACCAAAAAGTTCGTCCTTTTTCAAAACGACATAACTTTTTTGTTTCTTGAACGATTTTATTTTGGTCTATGATGTCTGCTAGCCCCATCCTCTGGCAATTCATGCTATAGATATGAAGCTCTCGGTTCTTCAAGTAAATTTTCTACAGGGTGATATGTTAAACAGTGAAAAATTTGAATAATTTCATCCAAGCCCCGTTTGAAAAAAGAAATATTTTTTCTTGTTTTTACTTTGAAATAATGAAGTATTATGTCTTACCTTGAAACGGTTTTTAAATTTTTTAAATTGGAATCTTAGCAACGAAAATATAATTGTTTTTTTCAAAAGAGTAGATTTAAGGCTTTTTGGTAGACAATACACTCAGTCTTTTTAATAACAAAAAGATAAGATGGTGAAAGATTGTTTCTTGACTATTTCCCTCGTCTTAATTTCCACCAATCACAAACGCGCAATTTTGAATTACAAAAATTCTAGGTGAAAAAACTGTGTGACAGCACCTGTCAGCAGTTTTTTTCGAGTTTACCCGCGGCAAAACTTGACAGCTGTTGTCACCAAAAATTGCAATTTATATTTTAATTGTTAACTGTTACTCATGAAATAGTCTTGTCAAATACCATTCGGGCATCTAATTTTTCCTGTAAAAAAAATCGAAAAAACACACCAGCACTCATGCTTTTTGTTAAAATATCACTTAGCAACGTGTTTTTTCGATTCTTTTCGAAAAAATTAAATGCCCTTATGATATTACTTACGAATAATTCTGAACATGCGACAAGCAACGAATTTCCATTATTTTCAGAGGGGCCTAAGCAACGACCACTTTTTCAAAATGACATTTTGGTGAAAATTTGCGAAAACTAAACCTGAACCGATATTTACGTTCTTGACATGTTCTTTTTATAATGTTGACCTCCTGATTGTTATACAGTTGTCAAATTTAAGTTTCAGATAAAACCAAAATCACCAAGAATCAAAATTCGAAAACAATTCCCTGCTGTTAAATGTCTTCTTATTCCTAAAAAAACTGAGTTTATTGCCTTCAAAAAACCCTTAAATGTTCTCTTTTGGAAAAAAAATCATATTTTCGTTGCTAAGATTCCAATTCAAAAAATTTGAAACATGTTTCAAGGTAAGACATAATACTTCATTATTTCAAAGAAAAAACGAAAAAAAAAATATTTTTTTACAAACGGGGTTTGGACCGTTTAACATATCACCCTGTAGGAAATTTTCTTGAAGAACCGTGAGCTTCATATATATGGCATGAATTGCCAGAGGATGAGGCTAGCAAAAATCACAGACCAAAATAAAATCGTTTAAGAAACAAAAAAGTTATGTCGTTTTGAAAAAAGAACTAACTTTTTGGTCGCGACACATTGAGTGGTGCGCAGTTTAGTTAAATCAGTAACTTAATGATGAATTTAATTTAAAACATTTAACTTTTAGCTTGTCCTTTCTCTAGCTTCAAATATAATCCTAGTTGGTATGGTCAACACCCTGTTATTAATACCACTAATAGTTTTAATGATTCTAATGGTGTTAATGAGAAAATTTTACATACCCGCAGCAAGAAGTCTGAAAAGGTTGGAAACATCATGTATGTTCTAACTTAAACAAACCAATCCTTTGTTAAACTCTTTATTTTTAGCACGAAGTCCATTCATAGGCCACATAAATTCGACAATAGATGGTTTAAGGACGATAAGGGCACACAATCTTCAGAACTTACAAAACGAAATTTTTGAGAGTTGTCACAACAACTACGCGTCGAGTTATTACAGTTTCCAAATGGTATTTGTAGCATATTGCTTTTACGCCAACATGATCTGTCTTTCTTTAGTATTCCTCGTTTTGTGGTCGTTTATATTCATCATAACAGGTATAACATCCACGTCTTTGAAATTTTTCACAATTTGATTAATTCTTATTCAAGGTATTTCCGTTGGAAACGTTGGTCTGACAATAATCCAACTATTCTCAATAAGTTTATCAATAACCATGGTATTCAGACAAGTCACAGAGGTTGAAACAAGCATGACTTCGTTCGAGAGAATAGCAGAATATACAGAGCAAAAACAAGAATATCAGGACGGCATCGTAAACGAAAATTGGCCTAAAAGAAACTGCATCGATTTTCACAACGTCAGTATGTCTTATAACGATAGAAAAGTGCTCAATAACGTTAATCTAACGATTGAATCCAACCAGAAGATCGGAATAATAGGGAGAACCGGGTCTGGAAAGTCTTCGTTGATATCTCTATTGATGAGGCTCTACGACTACGAAGGTACAATCACAATTGACCATGTAGACATTAAAACCATTGCATTGGAGCATCTTCGAAGGAACATAGACGTTGTTCCGCAAGATCCGATTCTATACTCGGATACAATACGAAATAACTTGGACCCCTTGTCCCAGTACGCAGACAAGGAAATCTGGTTTGTTGTCGACAAATTAGGCATCAAACATTTGATACCGAATTTGTACGAAAAAATCGACTCTACGAAGTACAGTGCCGGTCAAAAGCAGGTAATTTGTTTGGCCAGAGCCATGTTGAGGAAAAGCAAAATACTTATTATGGACGAAGCTACCGCTCACGTCGATTTTGAGATGGAGAAATTTATGAAAAACATGATTAGTCAACATTTTTCGGAACACACAATTATTAGTATATCACATAAAATTTACAGTATTAGTGGATATGATAAAATATTTTTGATCGAAAATGGAAATATTGTCGAATATAAGGAGTAATATGAGCAAATTTGTTCAAATTAAATATATTTATTTACAGTTTTGTTATGCTGTATCATTTAAATTTAAATGTGTACAACCATTACTATATTAGTATAGGTCCTACTTATAAGTTTATAATATATTATTTTTTTACCTTAAATGCTCTTTTAGTTCCACCCTTACTTTCTAAGAAGTCCCAGAAGCCAACTGAATGGCTTGAGCGGGTCCCCTCAGAAGGACAAATACACAATATGACAAACCCTACCTATGTGGGACTCGAACCCACGACCTCTCGGCTTGTACCACCCTTGGCAAGGGTAGGTCAATAAGTCCTAACAAAATCTTGTTTTGCTTGTACTATAGCGCATAGTAGAAGCGAAACAAGTTTGCTTCTTATAGTTGCAATTTTTCAGGTAAGTGTTATCAAAACTTCAGCCATATTAATCGCGTGGTTTCCTATTAACAATCGATTTCAGCAACAATTTTGCCGATGAAATAAGTTTTGTAAGGTAAATACAGGGTGTCACCTTATAAATTGTCATCTGACCTATTCAATATATCATCATAAACCTATTGAAAATCGGTTAGTACACTGTTCAAAATTTCATGCCCATTTTAACACCAAATTAACACCATACATGGTCTATATCGATACAAACCAAAATGGTGTTAAATATGGTTCGTTGGTCCGGTGTAAATTCAAATACTAAAATAGTGTAAATTTAACTTTTACACAGTATTAAAATAAATTTTACCTGGTGTAAATTGAACTCCTTTTCAGTGTTAAATATTATGTGTTTTGGTCAAATTACATCATACTACACAGAAAAAAAGGAAAAGAAAGGAAACAGGAAGTTCCTTGACGCATTACTAGTATATTACCAGTGGTATTATTCCAGAAAATTGAACCTTCAACTCGCTAGAGATAATGTTTTTAGTGCGTTCCACCAACTTAAAATACTTCAAGTATTGACAGCTGTTTCCACCTATTTAAGGTCTCTTTAGTATCGAACAACTTGTAGTGTCACACCAAAGCAAAGGACTACCTGAGCTTATATACTCTTCATGTAAGTCAACAGAAGCGAGATTTAAGAACATCACGTGATCCACACCGCCTTTGCCGCGATCGGTACACACTATGCAACCGGGAATGCACGGCAAATTGTTTTAATCGTTTTAACAGAGTGCTTTAGGTTGAAGTAACTCTTATTTTACAAACAACATATTTAGTAAACTGAACCATACAGCGGGTTGGTTTCACTAAAGTTTTCTGGGTTAATTTAACCAATTTAAAAAAATTATCAAAAAATGGCACTATTGTAAAAATGAAACTTTCTTAAAGGATGGCAACTTATTTGATGATTTGAAAAATAAAACATCGCAAGAAATCAAATCCAAGTTATATGGGTGATTCTACAAAAGTTGGACAACTTGATCAGTCAATAGAGTAGGTATTTTAATATTTTTTGTAAATATTTCAGTATATTACAAAAGATCCAGGTTTTTGTAACTTGTCCACCGAATTTTAATGTATTTTTTCAAAAGCACGTTTGTAGAAAAACATAATAAATATTCAAAACATCAGTACCTTGGCGTGTCCCAAAACTCCTGAATCAAATATTTGAGTGATTTTATTTTAAAATATATTCAATTTATCTTAAACTTTTCAATTTCACGACAAACTATAAAACATAAAACAATGTATTTTTCATATTTTATCATAGATTCGAATAATAGCAATTTTTAAAAAATTTATAATCTTTGTACTCACTTTTACCCGTTAGTTCTGTGTCCAATGTTAAAATTCAAAATTCCTGCGAAATATTGAAGTCCTCGTTTTAACTCAAGTGTTGGTAAAAAATTACCTACAGAGCCCGCCCTTTGCACGACAGTCATCTTGAAATCAATGAAAGCGGCGAAGTTGTGGTGAATGCACGTATAGTTCCAGTCAAAATTTCAGTACTGTGGTGAGTAGTTATTTTCTTACGTATATATATTTCGTTGTAATTTATATAACGCTATATGTGATTTCTTGATAAATAGCATCCACTAATAAAAAATATCAGTAAAATAATTCCGAATTATAATCTCAAATTTGTATCCCATTCATCCGTACCGTGTCGTCAGTTCCATGTTCGATGTTTCGGTTATCTTTTTTCGCAAACTTCAATTTGGTGTGGGTCCCATATCTAATAATTGAGATATCGATATACCCGAAATCCACCAGCCGCCACTGATGTGTGGTATTATTTGATTTTAAGATATTCCCTTGCATTCAAATTTAGAAAACTCAGATATTTCAGAAACTGTTTGAAAAAGTGACTGGGCTGGTCTGGAACAGTATATTTATTATATTATCACCCATATTATAACAAGTGGTATGATTATCATCGATGATATTTTCGAATTGAAACCGAGCTGCAGATTTCACGAGTCCGCAGGACGAGTGAAATGTGCTGTTTCGGTTTCAATGAGTAAATATCTTCGATTATTAATCATACCACGAGTTATATTTAGTGAGAAAATACAATGAATTTTAGAATTAAAAAATTGTCAGATTGACATTTAAAATTAAAATGTGATTTAAAATATAAAAAGACTTTAATAAACCTTATTTATTCAAACTTACCTTAATTTCATTATCGTTTACACCAACCCATCGATCTTCTAGAGTTTATAATTTATTATTTTATTGATATATATCAAACACAGAATTTCAATGACAACAAATGTTAAATCAAGAAAAGTGTCAAAATCCTTAGTACCGTGTAAACAAGATGATAAAAAATATTGCCGCTGAGATAAAATGAGTAACTATGGAATGCTGGCATTTTATTGGTTCTAATATTAATGAATTGTATTGTCTATGTTCTCATAACAAAATACTGTTTAATTTTCTCCAAAAACTATACAAACAAAATGAGGTCAAAAGTTGCCCAATTTTTGTAGAATCAACCATTTTTATTTTTATGCAACATAATACAAAAAATCAAAAATAGCAAACAAAACATTTTTTATAATGGAATTTTCCATGTATGCTTTAAACGATATATAATTTTAAAAGCTCGTATAAATTATGCTTTAATGAACGGAAAATGGCATAAAACATACCTAAATTCTGTATTTCGCAGGGTAATTCCACCGTATCACCAGTTACCACTTTGAATATGTTCCCTCTGGATATAAATCTCGGCGTGACAGCAGGAATGTGGCTGCCAGTAAACGATGACGTTCCTGAAATACAAAAACACGATTTATTTACCGAATTTTAATTTTTTGTGTGTACAGCTGACGCATCATAGCAGCATTCAGTTTTTAAGAGGGGGAAAGTAATCGACTCGATGATTACCTTGTCTGTGAAGATTTCAGTCGCCCACTCACTGGCCCTGAGCTGTGGTTGAATTCCGCAATTTTAAAACGAATATTTGGGTCGTTTTCAAAAAACACCCGCCTTCCGCTGTCCGTAAGTTTGAATTCCAATAACTTTGTTAAAAATTATCGGATCTTATTGATTTAAAAACCAAGTGAAAGCCTAACAAGCCCTTAGTAAACTCTTTCAGAAAATGTTTGTTTAGTTATTTCAGAATAATTTTTTTTTATTTTGAAACTTGTGAAACACACATTTTCGCATGTCCCATTAGCGTTTTATAAAACTTACATACATGTTTTTTTTTAATATTGAATAACCAGAACTTTGTGTTGCTTTATAGCAATCCATAACATCCTTAGTTAATAAAGTAAACAATTTATATATAAATTAATTAATTTTAATCTACTTTTTTTTAAATTTGACTCATGTCCCAGACATTTTTTCCGATGCGTTGCGTCCGTCGCGTTACCGATAGAATATTAAAAAAAACATATACCTATGGCAACTTTTTTGGCACTCACGTGATTAACAAATGATGTTCGGGCGTACACATTACCCAGCTGAATTTATTTATTCAATCAGGAAGAAGATATCGGTTGAAACAGGTGCGGGTAACGCGAATGTAATAATTGTTTGTCCACTAAGTTACTCAAAAAAATAATAAAAATAAGGTAAGAAAAAGTACTATTTTTCATGCTTATGTTTATTTTAGGGCACTAAAGCTCATTGAGAGTAATTAATGACTGTGTTTTATTATTATTTTTTAAATATGGTTTCACAAAACTTTGTCCACTGCGCAATGGAATTTAGGGTAACGCAATAGAATTTTTCGACAACAAAGAGGATATTTACCGTCGCTTTTAGTTTAGTTTATGATAAACCAATTTAAAATTATTTGTGATTACAACTAATGATATAGATTACATCCAAGGGAAAATTCCACGCAATATACAAGTACTAAAAGACACCAGCTTATAGTCAAAGAAAAAGGGTGTCTATAATTTAGAAATCTAAGTTGTTATTCTGCAAGTGAGCACCACTACAAGGGATTTTGTTTACGATGTGGCTCCCGTCCCGAGGCGGGACTTAACTTCGATCCCGACAGACGTCACACACTGTAAATCCGTTTTTATTCACAGAGCTTTTATAATTGGTGTCAAGCTGGATGACTTAGATGGTAGGGCGGTCGCTTGGCATGCGAGAGGTACCGGGTTCGATTCTAGTAGAAGTTTTCAAACTTTTTTTATTTTTTTTATTTTATAAATTTGTTGTTTCTTTGTTAAAAAGTGTTTTATTTTTATCGTAACATAAATTTGCCCATTTTAGTTGGGTTTTTTGCTCAATGGGGCGGGGGGGCCCAATGGGGCGGGGTCGGTTGGGTTGTGTTGTTGAGTTTGAGTTGGTTTGGTTTTATGACGTACCCTTAACATGTATACAGGTACAATTTATTATTATTATTTTATTATAACATAACAAATCTTAAAATTATGACGTCAATCGGGACTGAACTTAAGTCCCGCCTCGGGACGGGAGCCACAGCGTTTTGTTTATGCATTACTCTAAAATCGCACCACCCTATATAGTTTCTTTTTTACGTTATCTGATTAAGTCCTTTGTGTACCCCAGTCCGTTGTGATACCAATGTCTATTTCGTTACTTCTTTTAGTTTTTGTTAAAAAAATCCTTAAAATAATTTTAATATCACTTGGTAATACCTGTTTATAAATTAGAGTTTAACTCACTAATACAGTAGGGTGGGCCGAAAATCCGCTTTTTTAGAATTTCGTTTAGTAATAGCAAAAATTTTGTTCATTATGTTGTAAAAAAAAAAATGTGTAAAGATTAAAATTTTCGATCAACATCCTAGGCTCGCCCAACGCAATTAAAGATCAAAATGTTCAAAAAAAAATTTTTCTTAACTTATTTTGATCGGAAATTTTATGCTCTACACAAAATTACTTCAGATGGATAGTTTCAGAAATTTGTTGTAAAAAAAAAATTGTGTAAAAGATTAAAATTTTCGATCATCATCCTAGGCTCGCCCAACGCGTTGCAACGCAACTAAAGATCAAAATGTTAAAAAAAAAATTTTCCTAACTTATTTCGATCGGAAATTTTATGCTCTACAAAAAAGGTCCTTACACAAAATTACTTCAGATGGATAGTTTCAGAAATAAACCCGATTTTAGTATCAACATTTTTTGAACATTTTGATCTTTAATTGCGTTGGGCGAGCCTAGGATGTTGATCGAAAAATTTAATCTTTTACACAAAATTTGTTTACAACATAATAAACAAAATTTTTGCTATTACTAAACGAAATTCTAAAAAAGCGGATTTTCGGCCCACCCTAACTAATACAGTGACTAAAAGAAAATATTAATGGTATTGTTTTTTTAACAAAGAATCGGAATGGTGTCTTTTAAAAAGTAACTTAACGAACATAAATATTTAAAAAAGGCATACAATTTTTGATAAAAAATAAAATTGGAATCAAAAGTTTGTGAACTAAGTAGGTACATTTTATTTCAAATTATTTTTATAACAACTTTTTTTATTGAATTAAATTTTGGATTTCAAATTGGTAACACAGTGGAGACATATAAAGCTAGCTAAACACATTTTTCTGAAAAAAACGTAAAAAAAAATTAAAAAGTGCACTGCCTGTCTTAAATGTAAGTAAACAAAACTCTAAACATTTATAAAAATCCAACCAAAAGTCAATTTTTGTTTGCTTAAATTCATTTTCCTGAAAGCGGGTTTCTTGTTATCTTTTGAACAGTTAAATCAAGTAATCTAATTTAATCACCGTAGGTAGCACAATAATTATTTCATCCAAGCTGAAACACATCGTGGTAAATATTTAAATTTGGCGCAAATTAATTAAATACCACGGGAGAATAGCTCTCGGAAGTGTGTGTGAAATACAGAATGTTAAACATTGTCAACTACATTCTGCAAATTTACCTGGATCTACCATGTGTTTTATTGTTTAACAGGCCAATGCAAATTCCTTTTGGTAAATATTCAATAATCCCACAAATGTTTGGCAAAGACAAAGATTTGCATGGATGCATGGATCGAGTCAAAATGTACAAAAAGAGAATTTATAATTTTTGTTTTACAGTTGGTTATATCCCACTAAGCAAAGAATGTTAAGTTAACGTAGGCCAACGTTAATACAGAGTGTCACAACTTAACGTTTGCTCTAATTGTTATAGTAACGTAATTTCGATGTCCAGCAAATTACATCAATCTGGTTCAATCACAGTGAAGTCCTAGAAACGTTTGCCAACAAAACATTCCACGTGTCTTGTTCATTTGATGTTGTTTTTAAAACATTAATATGTCATGTATAATTGTATGTCGCATGAACATTGGCAGATGCAACATCTCCCAACTCATGTTTATATGATGTTATTTTTACGATGTTAATATAAGAAGTTCAATTACATGTCCTATACACGTTTGCGGAAATATTGCTTAATCATATGTTTACGCAATGTATTGTCTTTTTTAATAAACGTTAAGTTGAAAACGGTTATAAAATGTTATTTTGATTATTTCGATATCTTAAGGTAGGTACAATTGTACCTACAGCTATTTTAATATTTTTTCATTTATATGCATCATAAATATTTATTTACTTCCTATATATATATATCTATCTTTCATTATATTTATATTATTTAATTTATATAGTTATTCAAATTTTTAAAAAATTACAAATTTGCATCAAGTTTTGCTTTTAAAGCCAACCACGTCATTTAAATCATATGGACGTATTAACTCTAATATGTCTATAATTTAAATAGACACATAAACAATACATTGGCAAATTAGATTAATACACTGATGTAAACTCACTTAAATTCACCTTCGTTTTGTTTAGAGACTCTTCGTGCTGTTGAGGTTAACAATTATGAGTTTTTAACCGCGACACATTCAAATCGAGCGCGCGAAACTCTCAAACCCATACGCTGTCAAACTGCGCAGATTTCATTTTGGTTTGAGATTAAAAAGATTCGAGGCCCTCGAATCGAGGGCCAATCACAGAACGTCTCTCGCACCAGAAGTTCTGGCCCAGAACGGCGTCATTTGGGATTTAACAGGTTTAAGAGCAGTGAGTGTGAGTAGTGAGTGTGTTAAATAAAGCGTAGGTAAGCTACAATTACTTTTTATATCATTTAAGTTAACTAAGGGGGTTGTAAATATATTTTTACCAAGTTTAGTAAGGTAGATTTGGTAGGTATTACCTTAAAGGTATTATTTATTTACTATTATTTACGAGAACGCTGTGTATAGGAGCATGGCGGGGTGGTGGCTTCAGTCTAACAATCATGGTATAGCGAACTTTCGGTTAAAACGAACCAACTCAAATAGTATCTACGAACCTAGTCCTAGTCACAATCCACACAACAAGTTCTGTTCTTTAGCAGTTCGCGCTGACTAAAAATCACAAAATACCTACTTGCCGCCATATTGTTTGTTTACTTTTTAAGCGGGTAGATTTTGATTTGGTTTAATTTTGTGCCTTATTTGACTTAATACAGACTTATAAACGTTGTTAGGTGTTTGAACCAGTTATTTAGTTGTTTATTTGTGTTTTGACTGTACTAGTGTACCTTTTTGAACCTCAATTGTGCAAATCTTGTGTTTAACCAGTAAGTAAATTCTAATTCTAAAATATTAGGACGTTTTTTATAACTCTTGGTATAAAAAGTAAAAAAAAGGGCAAGTAAAAACCTTAAAAAAGTTTAAATTAACGGGTAAAATAATTTTGACAGATTAGAGGTTATAATTTGTTCCATAATTTGTTTCTATAATAAACCATAGAAACTATGAACAAACAAACTATAATATA